AAGAAAGAAAGAAAGAAAGAAAGAAAGAAAGAAAGAAAGAAAGAAAGAAAGAAAGAAAGAAAGAAAGAAAGAAAGAAAGAAAGAAAGAAAGAAAGAAAAGGGCAGGACTTCTCTTAGGTATGGTGAAAGAGAAAGTCTATTATAGATAAAAGGGAGAGCACAGCCAGAGGAGAGACATCTTGGAGAGTCCAGATTGGACATGACCCTGAAAGGAGACAGGGGAGGAGAGTGTTATGCCCAGATCGTGGGGACCCCCAAAAGACCACCACAGAGACTGAATCCCATATGTAAAAGCAAAGAGCCTTTATTTTCAAGCTCTGAGCTTGGTCTCTCTGTCTGTCTGACAATGTAGTGGTGAGAGCAGAGAACCCCGAGCTCAGATGGGGTGGGGTTTTTATCACAGCAGAGGTTGGGGTGAGGGGATTTCCAGGGTTCAGGACCCTGATTGGCTGACATTTGTCTAGGGGTATCTGTAAAACAGAAAATAGGTGTGTGCTAGACTCAAGGACATCTGGCCACCTTATGCAATGGTTGGAATGTTTGGGATGTCAGGTGTAGGCTCTCCCTGGGTGGTATCAGCTTATGGCTTTTCCTGGGTCTTGGTGTTGCCTACCACCAGTAAGCCTGTCACAGAAGCTGTGTCTGGGCCTCTAAGCCTGTCATGGCAGTGTGTGGTCAAGCTGTTTTGGGGCCCCTCTACAGGGAGAGAGGAAAGGAGACAGACCAAAAGACCAGGAGGGTAAAGGGTAGATGAAAGAAGACGAGATAACCCAAATGGTTGGGTTATATAGAGAAGGGCAGCTGGGGGAAGGGCAGCCTACCTCCTGGGCTGGAGAGTTGGGGTGGAGTGCGGGGTATGCCACCCATACCCTGTAACAGGTAGGAACTGAGGAATGCTGGGAGAACCTGGTAGCCTGGTCTGCTTTGATATGTTAAATAGACACCTCAGCCATTTGTCTCAGGGTTTGAGACTTAATAGTGCTAATAATCAAACTCAGGGTACATACTCCTCAAGCACCCTACCATTTTAGCTAATCCCTATTACTGCCCCTCCCCCCTTTATGAGAAATGTGGACGACAGTCCTCTAACTCACTGTGTAGCCAAGGTTGGCTTTTATCCACTGATCCTCCTGCCTCCGGCCCCTGAATGCTGGAATTCCTAGCATGGGTTATGCTTGATTTTATTTCTTTTTTAAATTATTGCTTGAGAATTTTATACGTGCACATGATTTGTTTTGATCAAGTCTACTCCCCATTCCCA